CACAGTTGCGTCATCCCTAACCAGTGCCCACTTCGGCTCAACTTGTGGTTAGTAGTAGCTACTTTCACAGGAGTGTATGGGTCACAAATCCACTGTGAGACCAATCAATAATCGATCGACTAAAAAACACTGTATACCGTAGCCACGTCGCTTCTGTTGACAATGAGAAGGTCACCATGAGTCGCCACTGCCAGCCTTCTGAATACATCGAATCTATCCCCAGCGGTGTCGAGACTTTGTGGAGGAGATTCAGAGAAGATGAATGTCAGCTAAATCAATCGCGTAACTTATAATGACTAAATACCTTTCATCAAAGTTCATAAAATGTTTTGGTTAGGAGCGAGGAAGGAAATCTACTAATTCCTACTCAACAAGTTTGAAGTCACTGAGCACCCAGTATCAGAAAGAAGACATTGGATTCGATTTGATTTTTCCGATCTGCTGCTTGTCGCGAAGGTTTTTAAAAAAACCGTAGTTATGTACACTCTGACAATCCCCATGGTGAAAGGCTTAGCCATACATGTTGAAGCAACACTCCTAGCAAGAATGGTGTCGAGGAATCTATCCAGTGGGTGGGATAGAGTAGCCACGAGTAGCACAGATGTGCCGTTGTCGCGGCTCGAAAGTGCGCGACAATGGCGCTAGGGTCTTACAAAGTCAGCATTTGGCGACTAATCTTAGCATTTGGACGAGTTACGTAGCGCACACCCCATGACACGCAACGTGGATTACGGCGTAGCGGCTAATTCAAATACGCGCGGGTTAGTTGAGCCATGGAGCAAGGCAAGTTCGTACAACTCGTCCGGCCCCGCCCTTCCTTTCAAGAGGAATTTTTTTTTAGGCTCCATGACAGGTTTCTCTGCTTTTTTTTCATTTTTAGGCGATTCGCATCCACAACTCCATTGTCAACCGCAGTGGTCAATTTTTTTCGATCACGGGGTGTTGCTCTAATGTAGCTCACACCACTCGTTCACAAAACTATGCAAAACCCGATTTGCGTGCACTTTGGTGGGTGCATTCGACTCTCAGAAGTGAGCCATAAACTACACATCTCAAAAATGCTCTTCAATGCTCTTTTCTAAAAATCACCTTGTTCCGCCAAACGGCCGCCATTGATATCAATGTGTGCTCAGAGTTGTTTGAAGACAATAAATGATCAGCTGGAGTCGCGTCGCTGGCGGCCACGTCGGCGAACACAAGCACATTGGAGAATGCTTTGGTGAACCTGAACAGAACATTGCGCCAATGATGAGAAAATATACAATGGTGCGCCTACTCATAAAAATCTGATGTCCTTAAAGGCAAGATTCAGGATTACATTGATGGGTTGATTCCACTCAAATGTGAAAGTAGGGATGGGAGGTGGACCGCCAGTGGAGAAAAAGGAAAAAAATCCTGAAATACACAGGAAATACGAGCATTTTGCTCTATGCTGTGGAGAAGTTCAAAAGACAGGCAGGGAGATGAGAGATAATGTGAGCGCGGAGAGCGGTAGAGAAGTCCGAGAAGAGAGAGCATAGCAGATCAACGCAGCGACGCAGACAAGATATCGAACGGTGGGCGGACCATGTTAAGTTTGGTGGAGTCTGTTAGAAGTCCATGGCGCCTAGGGTCCTAGTGACGCGTTTCGATGTAGAAAGGTGGCGCTACCTTTGCACTCCCGTACCCAGCACTTCTAGCCATAGTGAGGGCTTCTT